TCCCTTGGCCTGTTCGGAGGGATCGTCAGTGAGAGCGAAGGTCACCCCCAGGACACGGACAGACTCACCCCAGGGGGCAATCTTGAAGAGGCTATCCCCGACCTTGACCTGGCGAGCACCAGAATAGTGCTTGTTCGCTACAATTTTGGTCTTCTCAGTCGCGAGGCGGAGACCAGCCTTGGCCAGGCTTTTGTCGACAGCTCGAACCTTCTTCGCAAGTCTGGCAAGCTGAGTGTCAACCAAGAAAACGTCGTCCTGGTAAAAGAGAAGATCCAAGGTGAGGCCAGGCAGAACTTCCCCAAGATCACCCCATTGACGACACTGAACAAGGTCACTCAACAAGGCGTCGACGACGAGGCCAAACAGCTCAGCGCTTTCGGGGGCTCCCTGCTTGATGCCGACATCAGGCGTAAGCGTGAGGGAACTTCCTCCCGGCACAGTGCCATGTAGCTGGTGGGTGCGTAGCTGTTGCAGCATGTACTTGAGCTCCTGCGTCACATGTTGCCCTTGAAGACGTTCAACCAAGATGCTCGCGACCCTGCCTCTGTCAATCCTGTCGAAGGCGCCGGCAACAGCTAATTTACATAGCAGCAACGGAAGTTTCCATTCGCGTGTGACATCACGTAGGCGAGAAAGACACCCCACGAGGTCCGCTGATTGTCGTCCCTTGCCACAACATGAAATGCGCGATCCTCGTCTCATTAGTGGCATCACTCGGCTGCAAACGACCCGATTGACAAGCTTGTTGAAGGCGGAGGACACGGCAATGGGCCGAAGGTCACCCGCACGAAGAGGTGTGGGGACCTTCGCGAGCAGTGCAAGAAAACTGTGCTCCCAGCTCGGAGGAAGTTCATGAGAGGCGACAATATGATTGACAAGTGAGGTCAGACTGGGTCCGAGGGAATCGTGCGCAGCAATGCATCGGAGGAGATGTACCCCAATCCCATCGGGCCCGACCGCACTGCGACACCTCATTTGTTGCAGCTCCTCACAGATCTCCTCAAGAGTGAAGGGGACAAATGCGGCGTCCTCGCGCAAGTCAACCTCGGACCTGATGATCTCGTCGAGTTTGTCATTCCACAACTCAGCATTCTGGCCGCTTGTCATCTTCTGAGCAAGATGATCGTGAATCTCACATGTCAGCTGAGAAGACGAACGATCCTCCAAAAGCGCACCCCACCAGCCTTTGCATCTCTTCTTTTCATTCTGAAGCAGACGATACTGATCCCAGTTCCCAGCAAGGATGGAACTGAGACGATCCTGTTGCCAACGTTTACGAGATGCCTTGCGTAGTTTGTGCGCGCTCTTCCAATCGGCTGCACGATTGGAATCTTTGGCTTGGCGGAAAGCAGCTTTGGTTTCCTCGTCATCGCGAAAGGCGCAGGAGGACCGTGGGCGAGTGCATGTCTTGGCAAGTGTAATAATGTCCTCCTCATCGACAAGTTCACCCTCTGGAAGCTCAGACGTCACCCAGCGAGCCCTGGAGTCGTTGTTCCAACGTTTGCCTCGAGCACCTCCCGCAATGAAGACCTCGCCGAAGAGGAGTGCATGGTCGGTGCCAATGGCGAAGCGACGATCCGCATCCACAATGATCGGCTTGATGTGTAGCTGGCGTGAGAGAACAATGTCAATGTGCCTTCCACTGCGCTGTTCATCCCTCGGGAAGTGGGTAGGGGCGTGCTGAAAGACAACGTCAGGTGCGACCGGGAGGACACCCTGCTGAAGCGCGTCATGAGCAATGCTGTTGAAGTTGTGACTGCCGGACCCCAAAACAAGGCCCCGAGTGTCTTCCTGCTCCCAAGGTGGGACTTCGTTGGCATCAATGCCGCAGAGGAGAGGCAAATGGCGGTACTTCCGAGGGCAAGCCGCAAAGAACTCATGTACTGCTGCCTGGTAGATGTTGTTTGTGACTCCCGTATGTCCATGCAACGAACCAATAATGACACGTCCAAGATCTTGTAGGCGCGCAACTATCCAGATCCCTCTCGAGGTGCAGACTTTGTGGACGATGCAATCAAGCTTGTCTGAAGCAATGCCAATGCCAACTCCACGCCAACGTCGTTCATCCCTGTGGCAAATCCAGTGGAACAGCTCCGTGTTGATCTCTCCCCATCCCGACTCACCCCGTGAAAGCTCCTGAACCATAATGATATCCAAATCGCTTGCAACAACATCCAACATTTCTGGGCGTTGTCCTCCTAAATTCCAGTGGCCGACACGTCCCCACCTGCGTTTTGCACACAGAGAAGCAGTTGAGGCTTTCCGTTCCTTGGGAAGCAGATTTTCACCCCAGCTTGGGACAGAGTCGGGAGTGAAACGACCTCCCTCGGCGTGTCAAAGCTCCAACTCAAAGGCACGTTTGGCCTCATCTGTGGAGCAACAGGCTGTCCTTGCGACGGCACTGAGGCTGACCCAGCCGCCTGCCATGGTCACAGTTTCCTCGTCACGGGGAGGTCGGTGCGCAGCGCTGCCAAGTTTCAAAGGCCCGCACCAGATGGTGCCCATGCTCCAGTCGCAATCGAACATTGACATTTGGTCGTTGACAACGCTGTTCACCCCTCCTGCGTGGCGCGCATGAGCATCCTTGGCAAGCGCAATCGTCACCCTCCGAATCATGCTCACATGTCCTTGCATTTTTGCTCTTCACAAAGCTTGCCCACATGGTGCGACTATCTCCCCCCGATCGAGTAGACGGAAGTACATGCTTTATTTGGGCCAGCGCCTTAATGAACTGCCACATGCGGTTGCGGACATCTGCATCCCTTTCACCCTCTCTGACTGCGAACTTCAACATGCCCACCGAACGTCTCGGCCCATAGATTGCAAGTTTCTCAACGTCCACCAATTGCTTCACCTCGGGCATCTGAAGGATGATTGCCGCCTCCTCTTCAATGGTGATGCGTCGCGTGTCTTGCAGCCATCCTCCAACCACGAGTGTGCGTTTATCCTCCTCCGAGAGAAAGTCACCCCGGTCTCCCTCCGGAACTGCACCAACATTTGTCACCCCAGAGGGGGCTGGGCTTTTGCCGCCTTCTCGTCTTCGGTTCAGAAATTCCGCCCACGGATCAACTGGCTGACCGGCATTGCTGGCACCTGCAGGGGCGGCAACTCCACCAGGTGGCTGGGCGGGGCCAGAAGTTTGAAGTTCATCGATCCGAACTTTCATGTTTTTCACTTCGGTGGCAAGGTTGTCAAGATTAGTGGTGGTGTCTTGTGCAACTTGACGATGGTGCATCATGTCCCTCTCATTCACAGCTGTCCTGGCCTGAAGGTCAGTGAGGACACCAGTAGCTCGCCCCTGCTCAGCCTCGACCTTGTCAAGTCGCCCTTGGAAGGATCCCCATGCGCTCCTCATCTCACTAACATGTCCTGAGAGAAGGGCACGAAGCTCACTTGCCGTCAGAGGAAGTTCGTCCCCTCTGCTAGCACGCTTGGACGGGCTGTCGAGGTCCTCATCGTCTTCGTGTTCAGGTACGGCACGGAGGAGCCCATCTTGTCGTGGTTCCACCCTCTTGCGTTTCTCCAGCTTGACCTCCTTTTTGCATTCTTTGCCACGATGTTCTGCACCGGGGTGGGGATCCAGGAACGGATCAGGACCAGGCCCAAGGTTAAAGTCCGCGTCCACATCATCCTCGGCAATCTCGGTGGGAGACCCCACAACCTCCACCGCCATGTCGAGGTCAGGCAAGTCCGCTTGCGTGGGCTCGTTGTCTCCCATCGCCAACCAGAGGTACTCGGCAGCCACGATTCACCCACAGCAAGGACCACGACCGTGACGAAGAAGGAACCGACAAATCACCCCACCGCCAGGTCTGCAGCCAGGAGGGTGAAAGGAGAAGAGCACCGTGTAACACAGCGCCAAGGTCGACCTCCGCCAGGAGAAAGCTTGCCGCACCCCGAAGAAGAGAAGAGAACCCAGGAAGTCACCCCAGGAGACGAAGGAATGTGTTCCCGGCACGTCACCCGGCAGGGTCGTGTACTCGAAGATGGAGACCGTGGCAGACCAGCGGTGAACTTGCGGCTGATCAGGTAAGTAGAAAGATCCTCTTCCAGCTCCAAGGTCACCCGCCGAAGGAACTCGCCGCAATCAGATTAGACACTCGGAAGGACAGGGGCACACACAAACAAGACCTGAATGAGCCCAACAGCTTGAGCCGTAGCCGGGGTTTAGGGTTTAGGGTTTAGGGTCTTGTTTTCGGGAGAAGCCTGTACCTAAGCCCTCAGTCCTGATCACTGAACCCCTGAAGTCTAATCAATCCCAACCCCTTAACCCGTAATTTTAACCCGAAACCTGCTAGTTCGGCAGCATGGCTGATGACATCGTTCCAGCTGCTGACAGCTCTTATTGCAGTCACGCGCTTCCTCAATAGTGGGTATGTCCTTAAGGACGAAATGAACCCTAAAAGGGTTTCAGGTTCATATAACATATAGGGATTCATAGTATAAGGGTACAGGGCCTCCTACTTATAAGGGTCATTTGGTCCCCAAGGGTTGTGGTAATTGAGCACCTGCACCTTCGGACTCTCGCCGAACTTCCGCTTGGAGGTGAAGCCATGGTTAACCCGGCAATCTATGAGGACACCACCAGGAACTGAATGCGAGGTGCAGGTTAGAACACTATCTTGTTTAGGGTTTAGGGTTTTGGGACTATTGATAAACAACCTCCTACATCGACAGCAGATGCAACACAGAAAACCCATGAAGCAGAACCTGGAACTGCCAACGCAACAAAAAAACAAACAAACTTGCCTACTATAGCTTTCTGGTTAGTGTATGTTACTCCAAGGTACAGGGAAATATGGTCTAAACCCTAAACCTCTATCCAGGAACCCCAATAAGTGAAATTCTAGCCTTCAGTATCTTGAACCCGGTCTGGTTAGTGCATGGTACTCCAAATGATCTAAACCCTAAACCCTAAACCTCCATCTAGGGACCCCAAGAAGTCCAATTTTGGTATGCAGTACATTGAGCCCGGAGGCTCCGCAGTTGCAAAGCTCTGCCTTGTGCATAATGGTGTCGTTGGGGCTGTCGCCTTCCTGAAGGGAACAAAGGCATCGCAAAACCGCAGGGAAGGAACCCTAAACCCCAAAACCCCAAAACCCCAAAACCCTAAACCCCTAAACCCCTAAACCCTAAACCCCTAAACCCTAAATCCTTATCCCTAAACCCTAAACCCCTAAACCCCTAAACCCAAAGGAAGAAGGGCTAGAGCTTCGGGTTGCTGTAAGGGGGATCCTTGAAGGGTACTTGGTAATGAGGGAACACTGGACTTTCGAGTTTAAAGTCGCCAGGGAATTCAGAATGCAAGGTTTAGGGTTTAGGGTTTAGGGGTTAGGGGTTATATAGGGGTTCAGAGCTTAGTCTTCTTCTATTGCCGTTTTTCGGTGAGTGTGTACAGGGCTTCGTGCTCCAGTCCATCATGCGATGTTGTGCACTGGCAAGTAACTGAAACACACTCCGACAATGTCTACTTCTACCCAGAGACTCCAAAACCCTGTAATTAAGGAATATACCTTAAACTATAATGGGAATCCTAATATGGTTTGAGGTATATTCCTTAATTAATGGGGTGTTGGAGTCTCTGGGTATGCTGCTCTTAGCAATCATGCCAGCAGTGTAAGACACTCTCAGAAGTTGAAACATCCTAAAATGCTCATCCATCTACTTTCGAACCGGTTCTTGGCACCTGGGCCCAGATCTTAGGGTTCTGTAACGTAGACCCTCCATCGGTTTAGGGTTGAGGGTTTAGGGGGCCCTAAAAACAGCAACAGCACTGACAAAGGCATTAGCATCAGCATCATTTCATGACGTACCCTGGATAGAAACCTTGTAGTAACCTTCTCGTTTCCATAGAGTACCATTATAATTCGCTACACTACCCTTTAGCACCCTTATGGCACCCTTACAGTACCAGTATGGTTCCTTTACAGTACCCTTTTAGCACGCTTATGCTACCTTCATAGTACCCTTATAATGCCCCTTTCACACCGGCATCGTACGTTATATGGTAACCTTGGAAAACCCATTTTAGCACCCATATAGTAAACCCTAAACCCTAAAACCCTAAAGCCAACCTTCAGAACATGATCCAAGCGTCTGTGCGGCATCGAGCCCATGCTTCAAAGACGTCGTCTGCCTCGTCATCGCAGAGAGCGTCCTGGCGCGTGCGGTGATGTTTAGGGCGTAAGTTGTCTATACTGACAGCAATGTATTGCAGGTTTCATTACATACGTCAGTCTTGCAGTCACGAAACCTGAGGTGAACTTGCAGCCGAACTCGAAGTGAAAGTCGGGTTGTTTAGTTTCCAAGAAAGCTTTCTGTCAGACCATATGGGTAGTTCTCTGAACTAGGGTCCCTTTGGGGTCCTTTTTATAAGGGTGCCGTACGATACTTGGGAACTCAAAGGGGCCCTAATTTAGAAAACTATCCATATGGGGGTTTCCGAAAATAGGGGACCCTAATATAGTACCCCAAATAATAGGATCCTTATTATAAGGACCCCAAAATAAGGTCCCCGTTGTTTTTGGAAACTCCCATATACTCCCCTTGGAGGCTCATGGGACTCAGTGCTTAGGCTTAGAAGAGCCTGACTGGTGACTCGAAGTAGTTATCATTTAGGGTTTAGGGTTTTGGGTTTAGGGTTTAGGGTCAGTATAGTTACCTTGCTGGTAAGCCTAGTTGCAAAGTCCCATGATCCTTCAAACACACCCCCTACTACCCCCCCTTGTCGAGCCCTTATACATCCCTTTAAGGCACCCTGGTGCTTAAAACTCGAAAACCCACTACCAGGCTACTCCGGCGCTTCTACCGTGATCGGCGTACTGGGTTTAGGGCTTAGGGTTTAGTGAGAAACCGGAAGACTCACTGGGTAAACTCGAGACTACCACACATCTTCTGTGTTCTTGTTGATGGTATAAGGGCTCTCTCTGTAAGGCTTCCTATAAGGTTTCGACAAGGCTTTAGAGATAAGAATGGTTAGAGAATTATTTTCAGTGTACCATAAGAAGTAAGCCGTAATAATTACTATAAACCCCTATTCGGATGACTTAAAGTAAGTTCCTGAACAAGAACCCAGTCTTACCTGTAGCGCCAACAACCTGTGTTGTTTAGGCCCCTGGTTATGACTTCCTCAAATATTCACTGTGAACAAAGGCTTTCACATCTGAAGCCCCGAACTCAGAAGTTCGGGCCGAAGTCCGGTAACTCCCTAGCTTAAGCAGGGAGAGTGGCCGTCTCTGTCTCAGAGATGGTGGTGGAGGGCAGCGAATAGAAGCTTGCGCCTCAGAATCCAGCTTCGGTAGAACAACATTCGATGAAAACCCCTCCCTGCACCCTAAACCCCAAACGCTACATTCCTACATACTAAACCTACATACTAAACAACAATGATGCTATAGACTACGCCGGAATCCAGGGGTCACGGCTGTGAGAACTCAAAAAGCTACCCTGATCCATGAACCCTGCTCAAGCAAATTGGACTTTCACACATTCTGACAGCTGCACCCATGCACTGAACCCTAAACCCTAAACCCTAAACCGTGGTGATGTTGATGAAATGAATGGGAATAGTGGAGAGTTTAGGGTTTAGGGCTTAGGGTTTAGGGTTGATAAGATGGATGGGAATAGCAGGTTTAGGGTTTAGGGTTTGATGAAGGGAAAGAGTAATGGTAATAATACCAATACAGAGCAATACTGGCAATGGTAGTCAGTAGGAGCTGTTGTTTTTGTTGTTATAGGAGTAGGAGCCATCATCATCCTTGCAATGTAGGGGCCGTAATAAATAGGGTTTTGGGGCCCATTATGTTATAATTAAAACAAGGAACCCCCTCCCCCAAAAAAGAAAGTATAGGTAACTATTAAGGCCCCCATATTCCTTCGGTGGTTCAGGGATTGCTTTGGAAGGGTTTTGGAGTTTAGGGAGGAATGCAGCTGGGGGCCCCTCAGCTCCGTTAGCCCTGTCAACACAAGAATTCGTAATTCTTATTATTAAGAAACTAAACTGGTTCCGTGTTGGGGCTACATTAAAAACATGATAACTGTGAATCCTTACTGGGTTTTACTATGACAAGAATGTAAAAGTTTATGAAACAAGGGCCCAGTAAACCCTGAACTAGAAAAGCCTGAATCCGAAAGTCAAACACCTAAACGACAGATCCTAAAACAAACTGCTAGACCCTGACATAAAGATCAAGCCTCAAGCAGCCAAGCATCGCTTCACATAGTCTGCTGTCGTAGGAGTTATCTTGTCAAGACCCCTGAAGGGCGCAAGCGTCCACTTGACGAAGGCGCTGCTACTCTATGGGTTTGTGTGTATCAGCAATGAGGATAGATCAGCCTCGTGAGCCCCAAAAGTGTTGGGCTTAGGGTTTGTATAACGAGTTCGGCATAAGCCTGAGCTTTCAGGGCTCAGCCGGTTCCAGAAACCCAACTCTATGTCCTAAGCCCTAGACCATAGCTTACGGTCAGGGCGTACAGACAAAGTTTCCTATCTGAGAGTGTATGCTTAGAGGCAGAGGCTGAGTACCCTCGCACAAAGCAGGTTCTCTCTCTCTCTCTCTGTCTATACATATATATGTATATATACCTATACAAAAATGTACTTATGCATAGACACACATAGGTATATGTATATACAACTCAGGGCCACTTACCCAGCCCCTCATAATATGTAGCATATGGTTTCGGACGTATGGTAAAGAGTTGAGCTTGGGGGTATACGGTTCAGGCCACAGAAATTCTAGCGTTGCGTAGCCGGTGGGGGCCCTTCTAGGTATTTGGGTGTAGGCAGAAGGCGGTCAAATCGATAATTACTCCTAACAGCCCATGCAACCGACTTTGAAATATAGTCAGAGTATGAACCCCTGGCCCTAAGCCCTACACCCTAAACCCCAAACCCTAAGAAAGTCTAAACCCGAAGGAAGCCAGTGAAGCTTGGCAAGGGGAGCCCAAGCACTAAGAATCGGATTTTGAGGAAAGCTTTCATCGGCTTGGGTTTAGGGTTTAGGGTTTAGGGTTTCGGGTTTAGGGTGATAGTGTTTCTCTCAGCTATCTATGCGTTTTGGGTTCAGGCTTACAGTACAGAGGGACTAGACCAATCTGAGGTTTCTCTCAGTCCTCCATGCGTTTCAGGGTTAGGGCTGAAGGCTTACAGTACAGAGAGACTAGACTTAGGGTTTAGGGTTTAGGGTTTAGGGTTTAGGGTTTAGGGTTTAGGGTTTAGGGTTTAGGGTTTAGGGTTTAGGGTTTAGGGTTTAGGCTAGTCACTAGACCAATCTGAGGTTTCTGTCTATGCTTTAGGCGCAAAAACACGGAGCTGAGCCAGACTCGTGCTCATGCTCAGCCAGCCGTAGATCCAACATCAAGATACCCTCGGGTAGTCCTTGTGGGTCATATGTCATATGTAAACTAGTAAAAAGCTTACTAAGCTCTGTAGCTGTAGTATAGTAACCTATCATATATATATATATATATACATATATATATATATATTATATATATGTATATATATATATATGCTCTAAACCACAAAAAGTCCTAACGTCGAGAAACGCAAAACCCGAAGCCCCCAATCTTAAACCGGGGTTTAGGGTTGATAAGGGATGACCCAGACCCTAGGATCAGATACCGGGGCATATAGCTAGGGCATAAGTCATAAGTAGCTGCCCCGAATAGCCTCCAAACTAGTCCCGGAATATGCCTTTGATCATAATATTATAGGGGTTCCCATTATAGCTTCAAGTATATTCTTTAAACTTAATTGAGGGCTTTGCGAGTCTCTGGGTACGTAGCAGCAAGCAAGCCTTGCTGCAAGCAGGACCACATTGGGGTCAATGACAGCAGCTGAAGTGCCTGACGAGTGGCAAGGGAGCAGCTCAGGGTTCAAGTTCAAGGTTCGGCGCTGTTGAATTCAAAGGACTAAAGGAGCTAAACCCCTAAAACCCCCAAACCCTCAAGCCCTGAACCCCTGAAGCCCTGAAACCCGAAAGCCCTAAACCTTAAAGCCCTAAAACTTAAAACCCTTAACTACCCCTCAAAGGAAACCTCGGATCCAAGTAGATCCCTTGAAAGAAGGCCTCTGATCCCTATAGATCCCTTTAAAGGAACCCTAGAGATCCCTTTAAAGGAACCCTAGAGATCCCTTTAAAGGAACCCTAGAGATCCCTTTACAGGAACCCTAGAGATCCCTTTAAAGG